AAGCACCGCGTGGTTGGACAGTGCCGCCACAGCCATTGCCCCACGGATGACGGGTTGCTCCCACTCACAAGGAGCAAAAGCAAAGCCACGCGCCAAAATATCTCCGAATGGGCCAAGGGGGGTACCTGCTCAGGCGTTAACCCTCTCCGAGCCAACAACTCGTCTCCCGGATCGTAGCGGGCAAGTCCGAACAAGTCGCTCACAATACCCGCCCCGTCCGCCTCCTCTTTTCCGAATTCCAGTTCGACCCCCGGTTTGATTGCATCCTCCCAATCGGCCTTGGCCACTCTTGGGTCCGCCTCCCTACGCGCCACCAGGCGGCCGGCCCGTCGCACCAAATCCTCCACCTGCTCCAGGACAGCCGCGCGACCTCCCCGAGGTCTGCCCGCGGCCAGGCGCGTCAAGGCGACCAATGCACGGCAGGTACTTCCTTGGACGCCCACGTAGCGTGCTAGGAAAGCCTCGGGAGACTTGTCGTTTCTTTCAGGCTCGGCCAGGGCGCTAGGGGAGAGGAGAAGCACCTGGCGAAACAGCGCAAGGCCATCCCCGTGGGGGGGGGGAACGTCCGAGGGGGCCGAGGGCGGACCGGGAAGAGAGGCTGAGGACGTGGTAAGGTGCGGCAAAAGGCCCTGTGAGACGTGCAAGGCGAAGCGAGCGACATAGGAATGGATGGCGGCAATGTCCCGGACGGTCCACAGGCGGAGCCGCCAGTGCTCGTAGTGCTTCTGAGTCAAAAGCTCCTCCTCCGTGGCCGAGCCCGAATTTAATATAGCTCGTTTGGCCTTGGCATGCTGCTCGTTCCAGATTTTACCCCTGTCCAGACAGACCTGCGCTCGGTACCGCAATAAGGCTGTGACGGTCTCCGTTACTGTCCGCAGAAACTCTCCGCACCCGTGCCTGAGCGTGGACAGCGTGTCGGGGGAAAAATGCAGGAGCTCCTCGACCAAAGGCAACATGTCCACGTAATCGAGCGTCAAAGTTTTGACCACGCTAAGAAGTGCGTCCTGCACGCGGGAGCCTGGCTGCTCCCGCATAATCCCCCTGGCCCCGCGAGCCAAGTGCCGTCCCACCTCATCCCGCGTGAGCCAAGGTGCCGACGCCACAGGCCCTGGCATCCCCCCACCGGCCCCGGGGCCATGAGTCCAGCCCGCGGGAGAAGCTGTTACAGGCAAGGGCGTAGAGGGGGAGAGCGACGCGCCAGGCGTCGCAGTCTGCCCGACCGCCCCCAGGGCCTGCCGTAAGATGTGGGCCAAAATTTTGTCGGCATCGGGCCGCGCCCCCGTGACAGCGTCGGACATAAAGCACGCCACCGTCAGCTGTAGATATTCCGGCGCTTTCCGGACCACCACAGCCATGCTCTCTTCGTAAAGGAGGGCCTGTTGTGCCGGGAGTTGGAGGTGGAGGAGCCTGGAGACAAGGCCGGTATCCTCCGCCCTCAGGGGGGTCCGCCGCCTTGGCCATGGCCCTCAGCAAAGTCCGGGCATTCTTGCTGGTCGCTGGCGACTCGAGCCAGAGCTGGAGGTGCTCCGAGGCCAGGCGTCGACAGGCGGCCAACGGGGCCAGCTCGACCAGGGTGGCGATCAGGGGCCAGAGGGAACCGTACGCCTGCGACTCCAAGCGCTCCTGGACCGCTCTCAGAAGCAAAAGATGCGCCTTTTCCGAGCCAGCACTGTAGCGAGGATACACCCGCGGGAGTACCTCTTCGGGAGGGCCGTCGAGACTAAGCGCCCTACCCTCCCTGCAGGCGGGGTTCAGGATCTCGTGCCCCCCCCCGGGACCCGGCGCCTCCGGCCCGCGGGCAGGGGCTGCGAGGACGCCCACCACCGCCTCCTCCAGCACCTCCTCGTCCCCCGAGTCCGAGTCGTCCGAGCAAATGCTGCCACTGGCCTCCGCCGTACCCTTTGCCCCTCCCTTGGCCCCTGCTTCCTCCTTCCTTTCCGCGGAGGACCCGACCAGAGAGGGCGCCAGAGGGGGGGGCAAGGCCAATGGAGGGAGATGAGGCAGCAAGCCGTCGGTCCCTGTGTTACTGTGGAGAGGCTGTCCGGGTGTGGAAGAAGGCGTGCCTCGCAGGGAGGAAGAGCTGCTGCCAAGTGAAGGCGCGCGTGCACGAAGCCAAGGAGATTCGTGCGAGGCGACCGCCGAGTTCCAGCCCGTGCGTAGATTGGCAATAAAGGTGCGACAGCCATAGTCTACATACTCGTCCACCCATGCACGAGGGCCCAGCGTATCCTCCATGTATACTTGCAGGAGCGCGAGGGGCCACTGGGGGCAGTCCCGGAATGCCCGGAGTAAGACATTGCACGCCAGCCGATGAAGCAAAAAGCCTGCACGTTGAGCATTTGCCGAGCGCGAGCTTTCGGTAGGCCGCAGCCAGTCGATTATTATCGGCAAAGTTGTAGTTGTGTCCCTGAAAAGTTGTGGTTTTGCTTTTACTGCGCACATAAGTGCCACACTGGCGGCGGAGTGGGGGCCTCCATCCACCGAGCCTGCAACGCATCGACAAAGCTGTGTCGCCGCCCTTTGAAGGGAAGGTAAGTCTTCTTGGCCACCCGCCTCGATGACATGAACGAGATCTTGAACAAGTGATGGCGGAGACGGGTCCATTCTATTTATTTTTTAAGGCCAAGCTCAAGTTGCACGGGGGGGGGGGCAAGGCTCGCCTGCAGATCATTATGCTGTCGATACTGTTGCTCCCGCGCCGCAACGCCTTGACATCATTTTCCACAACGCTCACCCTATTGGTACCAGCTGCATCAAGATCGAGAAAAGATGACATTTAGGACCTAAAAGCATTTTTCGTTCGCCATCTGGACGTGGACTCGGCCAACAAAAGGGAGATATCAATGCTTTTACTTGACTCGCTCAAGAAGCATCGCTCAAGAGAGGCGATAGCTCGTACCGCCCGAAAACCGCGCGGTCCATCCCCCGCTTCCCGACGACAGCAAGGCCTTCGCGTGTGTGTCTTTCACGAATGCCCCTTTTATCCACTCGACATCGCAGGGACTCTAACAGTTGGCCACCAGGACCACTAGGGTTCATTATGCAGAAAAGAATGGTGAACGCATCCTCACGCTTGAGGCACCGGGCCTTCGTCTTCCTTCGCATTTTCCTAATGATGTTGCTCCTGTCCCGAAATGCATGCAAGGCCGAATTCTACGTAGTGATACAACCGGTACGTTTCTTGCCCCGGTATTGTCTCGGAAATGTTGAAATCAAACAAACAAGCAAAACCTACTTGCCCGCGACTCACGCCTCACCAAAACCGCCTCCCTATGTACTCTCAATGTTTCAGTCTGGAAACGAGCAATGTTTCATGATTGAGCAACCACAAGGTACACCGGTCACAGTGGATTACGATCTCCCCGCATATGCGACCCAGAGCCTCAACTTAGTGATCAGCTTGGTGTCGGGGCCTGGCGGGAAGGGAGGCGGCGGGAAAATGGTCCAACAAGTGCAAATGAACGAGGAAAAGGGCCAGTTCAAGTTTGCCACAGTGAAAGATGGGTTCCACTCCCTCTGTATCGTACCTCACACTGTGACCAAGCCCACGAAAGTGGGTCTAGAGGTCACGTACGGAAAGTCCGACGCATACTATGCTGACCTGGCGAAAGAAGCGCACATCGACCTGTTGGAGGCCTCCATCATGCATTTGAACGCGCAAATGGGTCAGATTCTAAACGAAGCGGACTACATGAAAGACAAGGAAGTCCTCTTCCACCAGCAATGCGAGCGGACGAACTCAGCGGCGCGATGGTGGCCTATTTTGCAAGTGGGCATCCTCCTGGTCACGGGCGTGCTCCAGGTCAACAACCTCAAACAGTTTTTCAAGGCGAGGAGATTGGTGTAGACCGACTCACGGCCTTGCAGTGCTCGAAACAGATCCAAGGAGGATGCAGATAGGGGCGCTGTCGGGGGCGGGGGCGAGGGCGGAGGGGATGTAGGGCTTTCATGATCGAGTTTGGGTAACGGGCGAGGTTCGCCGGATGCGTGTACAGTACGGAACGGAATATATGCGACGCCAATGACATTTCGTCCTCCTCCTTTTGGGATGCTTTGAAGAGAGTAAGGAGGGAGGAAGCGAGAGACAAAGGAGGGTTAGGGTTACGACAACGCCTGCCGCCAAAATTGAAATGTTTTTTACTTTCACAGTTTGGGTCTTTCCACTGGAATGATCTTTACTGTCGAATGCGTGTCTCGTTTCACATGTCCTCGCTTTCTTCCTCCCCCCCCCCGCCCTCTCCTTGTCCTCCTCCCCGTCCGGACAACCCTGGCACGGTCTTCCTCACTCAGCAACGCTTCCTCTTCCTCCTCTGTCTGTCTCCTCCTTCCATTTCGCATCGCCTCTTCCCACACGCGTGCGAACACATCCCCGTCGCCCCCCTCGCCTCCCCCGTCGCTGTCAAAAATCTGGCTATCACCTTCCTCCTCCTCACCCTCCCTGAAACCCATGTCTGGTCTCACATATTCCTCCCCTCCGACCCCTTCCTCTTCCCAAAACCCTTCATTTCCTTCCATCTCCTCCCCCATCCCGCCCCTTCGCCTCGCCCTGCTCGCCAAGAAGGCTTTAAACGGCACCTTGTCGATGTACGGGTACTCGCCCACCCAGGCCCCGCAGTCTGGTACAAAGACGTCCGAGACCCCCATCAGCTCATCGAAGTCGGGCGACTCGCTCAAGACCAATCCCTCGCACCGCATCCCTGGCCGCACTTTTTTGTAGCTGGGTAAGATTGGCGCGTAGACTCGCAGCTTCCGCCCCGATTCGTCCTCCATGGACATGACCAGGGCCTCGGGCCGGTTGTACTCCCTCGCCTGCCGGATGCGGCCCACGCGCACGACCCTCCCACTAAAGAGCGCGCCAAAGACGCCGTCGTCGCGCGGGGTCCGGGCGAAGTAAGTGCCGCGGAAGCTCACGTTCCGCCGGTAGGCAGCCAAGCCCGGGGCCAAAATCCAGTAAAACAAGAACACCGTGCCCAAGACTGTGGCTGCGGGCAGGCCGATCAAGAATGTCAGAAACCAGCTCGTCCAAAGCCCGAAGAACGTCGCAGAGGCAGCTTCGTAGATCTTGCCGAACTTGTCGCTCTCCGTGATGCCCCAGTAGTATTTCCACTGGTCCCCCGTGAATTGTGAGGGAAGAAGCCGACGCAGCGTCCGATCGCGAAGAACTGTAAGGCTACAGGAGGCAAGACCGCGGGAACGGTGGCGTTCTTGGGCAATATTTCGGACCTGAGGAGCTGAAGTAATATGGCCCCTGCCCCTTGAGGAATAGGCGGGATGGCTGAAGGCCGGCACCATGCAAGACGAAACGGGACGAGCGGGTACACAGATGTAAGCGGACATTGGAAGGGTGTGAAGAGGCGGCCATGCAATGCGGAGTGGAATGCCCTGTGCGAAGGGCGACAAGCGGGGCAGAGCGACGGCAATGAGCGAAGGTGAAGGGGGGGTAGGAGATTATAATAGTATATTTTATAGAAAAGTCATGACGAGGGGAAGCCGGGACAACAAGCAACAGCTAATTATTTTCAATGCACGAATTTTGACGCTTGGATGAAACGGAAAAACAGGACATGAGCAAGAAATTTGCCCACTTACTACGAGACCGCTGCCGCAGGTTGGCGGCATCGTATGAGGGCAACGGTGACGACGATGACAGCTCTAACCAGTCCCGCGAATATCTCCTGCCTGCGACACTCGTCAGTTTCTCCTGTTGTGTGGTATCGAGTGTTATGTTCGTTCGCAATGTAGGAAAAGCGTCCTTGAAGTGACCGTAAAGGTCACCTGTTCCCCTCGGCCGTCACTCACCCCGTCTGCTTGGTGTTTCTCGATCGAGAGAGACGTCGCAGGAGGGCAGTCGAAGTGAACACAAGGGAGCCAAAGCTTTGAACCAGAATACGAGCACGATTCAGTTAAGCTCTTGTTTCACTCTGCCGTGATAGGTAGGTTTGTAATTTTGATTAAATCATCGATTTTATCATCAAATTTGGATTCGCGGATAATTTACGACATGAAAGGATCTCTGGGCGCGAGTGAATATCATCGGAAGACGTCAAAATCGATCACAATAGACTCAATCTAAAACCACCAGCTCTTCATGATCCAGAAGGGAAAAAACGCACGGTATAATTTGTATATTGATTGCCTGTTTGTGCAGGTTTTCCGGAATATGTTCATTAACTATCAAGATGGCGGCGCCTGCGCCGGACTACTTAGTCATTCCTCGTCGGTACAGAAATGACAACTACTCTCCTACAACGCCATTCTCGATAACAATTTTAATCTGTGAGCAGCGAAATCTTTAGGGGATACCGGCGAATACCGGTTGAACACTTTGTAAGGTGAAGAGAAACATTTATCGTTTGTGAAGACTTGAAATTTAGGATTATTTCGTTTCATGAGGTGTCGACTCGCATGAAGATAAATTTAATTTGTCGGCAGAACATTTTTGTTCCTTAAAAACATGTTTAAGAATCTATTTTCCTCCAGGAAAGCTGCCAAGGTGCGTATTCCTTTCCAGGTGACGAGGACAACTATGGGCTCAGAAACATTTTCGGACGATGGCATAATTAGGTCGATATGAACTCAAAACCTTGCATTACAGACTGTCGAAGATTTGTACGAAGACACAAGCAGATATGACTAATTTATAGCTCTTTCAGGCGCTTTTAAGCATCTAGGCTAACTTCTTCTTCATGGGCGGGATCGCAAGGGGACAATTTGAAGAATGAAACAGGCCTACTCTGCTGTTCCAAAGCTAGATGCTATGACGCCGCTGTGATTAAATCTTATTTCTCAGATAACGCCACATTTTGGGGTATATTTGTGTCACAATTGTCATTTGACTGTTCCGATCTGAGCTTTTTCTGTCATCGCCATGCTCGCTCCTCGCTGTGGCCCCCTGATCGTCTCGCGGACCGTGCTAAATAGGACCCCACATGTGTTCCCGTGCCTATTATCCACCGCCAAGCATCTTTTTCGAATATTTACTCATATATCCTGGTGAAACTTGTCAAAATCGTGAAAATAAGCCCTTTGTGTGCGGGTTTACTGGCTTTACTTCTGAAAGAGGAGAAGAAGAGGGGGAGGAGGTCGACGGAAAGTCGTGAGCTTTGAATTTGTGCCTCCTCCCTCGAAAATTGTCACACAACCGGTATTCGTTATGCATATGGGGCCCGCAACCGATAATCAAGTATAATCACTGTCAGCTTATGCTATGTAGCTTTTTGTGGCACGAATTGGCCAATTTTACGGCTGGGTCTTCATGTGGCACGTATGTCCTGCTGATCTGATCGATCAAGCCATTTCTTCTGGCATAACTGGCCACTCTTACACTAATGTGCGCTCATCTGACACCTTTCGCTGATGACACCATCAATAGATCAGGAGCTCCAAACTGTTGTTGAGAAGTGTAACACGCAGCAAGACCATGCTGCCTGTTTTGTTTGTTCTGTCTGCTGTGGTCTTGAACAGAGCCTTCGGGTTTCCTAGCACCATTATAGAGGCTACCGATAAAGGCAATCCTCCGATTCCATGGTCGTTTGGGGCGGAGAAGAGCTGGGACGCTCGTCGCGGACTCGTAGATGGCCAAGATGCCGTTTGTGACGCAATCAGCGACTGCACTAGTTGTTTTCAAGAAGCAGGGTGCGGGTATTGTGGGGGAACCGGCCGTTGCCTCGCGCAAGCGAGCGCTGATAAGTGCAGCAAAGGGTGGAGCGACACAGGCATCTGTTACACATCCTGTCCTGCGGATGCAGCACCATTGCACGAGGCTGCAGGCGTCATCCAGTTCGGGGCAATGGCCCCTGGGGCGGTGCACTATATCCCGGGGGAGAGCTGCACCTTCACCATCTGGCCTTTGCCGGGCAGTGGCTCCGCGACCAGCCCGGGTGCCGGGGCAGGGAATCGTCGGTCTGTCATGATTCGGTTGCAATTCGAATACCTGGATTTGGGTCCCGGGGATACCTTGAACATCTACAGCAATGGTTTGGACGGGCCCAAGATCCTCAGCATTGCGGGGTCAGGCCTCGGCATCGTGAACCGAACCATTACCAGCCGCTCCAGCTCGGTGGTTTTGCGCCTCCATGCGGAAGGTCCCGTGGGCGGGACGGGGTTTCGCGTCTATTGGCGGGTCATTGAAAGCTCGCCTTTGGATATTTATTTGATATCAGCGATCATAGGTGGGTGTGGGCGGGTGGGAACTCCATGGTTGTCTTTGGGGGGGGTTGCTGGGAAGCAAAGGTGTTGAATGGTGATCTGTCTGGTGTCGATGCTCCCGATGATCATGGATCGAGAAGCATGATTGGGGCCATGGAGTCCCTAGGACGTCAAGATATGGCAAAGCGCTCGTCTGATTCCACGCCCATATCCACACATGAACACATCCCCACCTATGCGAACGCCACGTACCCAGTCACCTCCATCCTCACGTGCATCCTCTGCTCCTGTTGCTGCAACAACTGCGTGGCCATGTTCTCTGGTGCCGGCGGTGGGCGGCGGGGAGGGCGGCTCCTTTGGGCATGGGGAGGGGCCAACGCGAGCGCCCCGGCCGCCCGGGCACTTTCCCCGCAAGAGAAGGCCCGGCTGCCTATAGCCCCTTACGACCCTGGGGAATCGAATTTGTACAATTTTCGGGAGTGCTGCATTTGCTTGACAGATTTCGAGCGGACGGATTTGGTGAGAAAATTGCCCTGTGGGCATGTCTACCACTCGGAGGTGAGAAGCGAGGGAGAAAGGCCGAGAGAGCAACGGGAGCGTTAGTGGGAGAATCCGCCTGGTGGGGAGGAGCCACGTTTCTGCGTGTTTTCAAGAAGGTATGGCCCTCAGGCCCTCACATGAAGCCCGTTCCCTCCTTCCCAGTGCGTTGATTGCTGGTTTTCGGTGAACTCCGTCTGCCCGCTCTGCAAGTCCGACGTCCGCGACAAGCTCGGTGTCGGCGCAGAGGGAGCAGGCATGGTCCCCTTCTGGCGCATGCGTGCGGCCCTCCATCTGATCCAACGGCGGTTGCTCTGGCCCGCCGGTCATCTTCTCCATCTCCACCGCCCTCCTCCTCACGGATCTGCCCTCTCCTTTCCAGGCAATCGAGAGGCGGAAGGTGGAAGGGGAAGTGGGAGCGGCAGGCGGTGGCTGAGCAGCAGGGGGTGGTTAGGCGGGGACCGAGGGGTACTGTCGATCGATTGGCAGCCCAGAGCCCCGACGGCGGAAAGGGAGGGGGAGGAGCGTTGGCCGCGATGGGATCAGGGCGGGGAGCAGAACGTGCGAGGAGAGGAAGTCGTAGTGTTCGAATTTGCACCTGGAGGGGCTGAGAGGGGAGGGCGGGCGGTGGAGGAAGGGGGCCGGGGCGAGGAGGGAGGACATGGATGGGGGGTCAATGAAGGGAATAGGGGCGGGGACACAGCCGGCGTGGATTTAGAGCGTGGCGACGTGGACAACCGAGCAGGTGGAGGAAGGGAGGGTGAGGAGGACGGGAGGGGGAGGGAGGAGACGGGGCTCCGGGTCCCGCAATGATGCGGCAGCTGGAGGGGGCAGGCGCGTGGAAAGTGCTGTCTGCGCGTGGAAAGTGCTGTCTGCACATCACGGTCAAAGTGGACATAAGGCTGGGGGAGAGGAGATTCAAGGCATACGACGAGCGCTTCTTAACGTACGGTTGCCGTCGCCGTGAAAGTTTTGGAGTGAGGAGAGTAAACGGGGAGAAGCTTCGAGGTGACGGAGTGGGACCTCGCCGAAAGGCGAGTGCAGGCGCCGCCGCGTGTACATACGTAGGGAGCAGAAAAGAGAAAGGCTCTCGTTTATATTTGTGTATAAAGGGGGGAAGATTGTCAAGACAGCTAACGGGCGAGAGTAAGGACACGAAAGTCTGGTGGTAGCGGAGGCCCACACCTGCGGGAAAGAGCCCCAGCCTCGCCCTTATAGGAACCGGCTTGGATGTGGACGCAGCGGAAAGTTGCCGCGGCGTGGGGATAATGCCGGGCTTGGTCGCGCGGGAGGCTGTAGTATAAACAAGGAACCTAGAGGTCTGCTGCCGGATGCTAGGGATGCACGGCAGGACGGTCAAAAAGCATAGACATGTAAAGAGGATTTTCTATGCGGGAAATAAGAGCCAGTCAAATATTCCAGGCGATAAAATAAAGAAAGAAACAAAAGATCTTTCTTTTCGACCTCAAGTGTCTTGTTCCTGTGCGCTCGGCGTCGACTGAGATAAGAAGGAGCACATTGCCTGTCCAAACTGAGCCTCAATCCTCTCTCACCATTCGTGCTCCAGCCCACCCACCAAAAAAAGGAGCGACTACAACCTCAAACCCTTCCCACCCCCGGCCAACCGCTCCTCTTCCAGCTGCTTCTTCTCCAGCTCCTCGATGAACTGCTTCCACTCCGCGAAGGAGACCAATCCACTGCCGTCCAAATCGAAGTCATCGAACGACGGATACTCCACGTCTGCTAGCTCAGGATGTGCCGCAAAATAAGACCGCAGGTAGGCCTCAAACTCCGCCCTTGAGATTTTATTGTCGTTATTGGCGTCCGGAAGCTTGAACTCAGCGACCTTCCTCTTGTTTGGGTCCGTCTCCGGGTGCTGCAGTATCCCCTCTAATTGAGCAATCAAAGAGTCCACGTAGTCCGCATTGACTTCCAACGCTTGGTACGCCTCCCCAAACTGAGCCACGATCGCTTCCTTCCGCTGCTGGTAGGAAGCTATGAGCTTATCGCTTTTCTTCTGATGTGCTTGTTTAAGCCGCTTGGCCTGCCACCGATAGTATAGCTGTCCAAAGCTCCAGCTGGCAAGGGCACCCACGGCTCCAGTTTTCATCATCCCCCAAAATCTGCTTGGATAGTGTTCACACCATGGAGAATGTATTGGCTAATTGACTTTACAATTTACTTCTTTTGGTGATCATGCTTGCAGGCAAGAACGAGATTGTGTTTATTACGAAGAATGACGCCTGAAGACACACAACCCAAGTCATCACATGTGCAATATGACATACAAACGCCCACACAGCGGGAGTAAATTGAAAAGCGAGGCATTTTACTTGTCGAGCCTGCACGCATGCCTCTTCAACAGCCTCATTCCTCCGTATAAACCTTACCTGCCCGAATCTTTTCGCCCTATGTCACGAAACTCAGGCCTCGGCCGTTGTTGCTGATATTGTTGTTGCTCATAAACTTGTGCTTTTACACTCTCAGCAAGGCAGGCAACCAGTAAGACCGGGGTCAAGGAAGCGATGCTCCAGCAACCCCTCATTCCTCGTCCTCGAGCGGGTCCTCCCCTTCTGACGCAAGAATTGTACTTGAAGGGGTTTAGAGCAAAAAATAAGAACACGGAGTCGGATTTACGTATACGCAAGCTGCCTCAAAAAAGAACCGAAATAAATCATGCATACATGAACAAACCTGCAGTGGCTTAACAGGAGGGGAAGAGCTTCAGGGGTTAAGTCCGGGTATCTTCTTCTACGGCAGCCCCTTTCCAAGCTCGTTCCCCAAATCGTCCCGTACAAAGCAAGCCACGTCGTTCTGCGAGCTTCGAGTCGCCAAACTATAGTACATTGCTTCTTTTTCGGATTCATTCAACCCCACTGTTGTAAGAAGCGTTTCACGTAGGGTTTCGTCCGGCACATACCAACCCTCTGGCTTTTCTGGGTTTTCAGGCACTGCCTGGCATGAGACGCACTGTTGCTGACGTTTTTCTCTATCTCTGTACACGGCCTCAATCCCTTTCTCTTAAGGATATTGCCTTATTTTTTCATCACAAATCCTTTTTTTGGCTACAGGAGAAGCGAGTCCACGATGTGGGCAACCCTGCATCTGAACCTCCCCACCCCGCCTAAAAATAACACGACGGACACGCGTTTGGATTGCAGCAGCCGAATCCAGGAGCCTCGATCTCACCATTGGCAATCATGTTGTGCGCATCCAATTCTTCCGGGAAGGCTTTCAAGAGGAAGAGTACCCCTGTTACAAAATGTTTGGTGTGTATTATGTTGCATTGAGAAAGGCAGAAAAGGACGGTCACGGAAGCAAAATACCTTTCGGTGTGATAAATCATACTCACGTTTTCTGACATATACATAGCTCGATATAACAATGACAACACCGATGGCGAAGCCGGCGATGGCTGGGTGGAAAGACAATTTAGGATCAGAGACGTTAGAGGATGAGATTAGAAAAGCTCGCATAACTTGAGGCGTGAAAAGAGGAGATTCAAGGTACTCTAGCTTGCACATGCTCGGAACGGCCCTTGCCATTGAGTGCCATTGAGTGTCGTGGGATTATTAATCCCAGAGCATGCTTTCTCGCGCACGTACCAAGATTGCCCGACGCAAAGAGGAACGACGCAAAGTCGTAAGTTCCTGTGAGCAAGGGAAGAAGCCGGAGGTGAGAGAGCGGGAGGCATTGAAGCTCCTCCAACGCCCCGCGCAAGTGCACGCACCATGGATCAAGACTGGGAGTATGAGCGTCTTGTACCACCTCTCCGTGTCCTGCTGGAAGAATTTGCGTTCGGCAAGCGACGTGCCAATGATCAGCCCAGTGGCGCAGTGCAGAGGTACCGAGGTGAAGGCCCGGACGATGGCCGTACCCAGACCGTAGGAGAGGTTATACATCAAGTCCTCCACCGTGCCAAACGCACTGCCCGCGCAGCAGCTGTACACCACGAGGGCGCGCGGGTCCACAACGTAGGACTTGTAGATGATGCGGCGGACCGCCAGGTATTTGGCTGACTCCTCGAAAAAGCCGGCGATCAGGTAGGCCTGTAAGAAGGAGGAGAGAATGCACATGCCGCAAAGCCCATCCTTGGGCAAGTTTGTCCGGACGATGAGGAAGTAATTGGTCACATTTTCCAGGATGACGATAGGGATCATCCACAGGACGGCTTCGAAGAAGGTGATGAGCATCTGCAATCAGAGTAACGGCGAGAGCAGGCATGAGAAAAGAAGAAAGAACCAAATATTTAAAAGTTGACTACAACAACGATGAGCATGAGAGCATGATGAAGACAATAAATTGAAGTGGATGTTATCTTCTTACCTGCATGCGGATAACGGACTTGCGAAAGCGCATCTCGAGGAAAGAGAGGAGGGTGATGGCGGGCAACACAGACAGAAGGACAAGCCCTAATTCCCGCAAGGCCCTGGATGCGATGAGTGCCGCCGCGGTGATAAGAAGAATGTAGCCGCTGAACCACTTGCAGAAGGAGGAAGCGCAGGACGTGGTGCAGTAATCCGTGCTCTCCAAGTTCGCGTTGGGACGGTCCACGGCGGTAGGTTGTTGATGCCCACTCTCAAGCCCGCTGTTGTTGGCGTCTCCTTGCGGTGGCCCCGCATAGGTACCGGTGGTCGACCTATCACTATACGGATATGAAGATGCTACTGCTGGCATACCATTGGGAGGGAAAGGTGTTGCGGCCCCCGAAGAGGCGGTAGTAGTGCCGGAGAGAGTGTGAGGCAGAGGTGGTTGGTATTGCGTGCTACTGCTCCCAGGGTACCCATTGGATATGGCCACGGGGCGGTATAAATCTGAAGACGGATTTACTGTCCGTCTGTTTGGAGACAAACTCATGATTATGTCTGCAGAGGGCAATTAATCTTTGGAAATCGAGGCGTTGATAAGTACCATGGTTCTTAACATGTAAACGTTGTGTTGCGTTTTGAAATCCGAACAAAAAACAAATGCTGGCCAAGTGCATGATGCACAAGCATACAATTCATACACACTGCACACACACGCAACGCGGAAGGACGAATTCTCAAGGCCCCCGTCTTAGCATGCTACACCCGGGGCGGTGGGGTCTGGCCTCGTCTCGCTCCTTTCCTCTCAGGGAAAGATACTCTTGGAGCACGGGCGCAGAAAAAGTACCCGCCAGCCCCGCGCTCGTCGTATGCAGGCCCCTCGCTTCCTTTCTTGGCCTACGTGACAGCGTGCTTTGTGACACATGAATGAAGTGACCTCTTTCACCTTTCTACCACTCCTTGTCCTTCACTTGAAAGGCAGGGGCTTCCCAGTGGTGGCGGTGGTCGTATCATCACCAGACAAGGGCAACGGACAGATGAGTGGCCTGCCGGACGACGCAATTGCGAGGGCAAAGGCCATCGCTGCTCGCCTCACAGCAAGCCTGGGTCCCGAGGGTGGGGGTGGAGGTACTAAACGACGTTTTGGGGACGGGGAATCGGAAGAGCCGCGGAAGCGGGAGAAGATTTTTATCCCGAAAGACAATCCTGATTTCAACTTCTTCAGCTTGTTGATTGGTCCCCGGGGATCAACGCAAAAACGTCTTCAGGAAAACACCGGGGCGCGAATTAACATCCGTGGCTCGGACGGTTCGAAAGGGGAAGAGGCACCTGAAGGAGAACCGCAAGAGGATATGCACGTGCTGATCGAAGGCACGGAGGAGCAGGTAGCAGCCGCCAAGAAGGAAGTGGAGAAGATTTTATTCGACCCCGCCGAAGCCATGCGTCTCAAGGCGGCGCAACTGCGGAACCTGGCTGAATTGAAAGGTGGCTACTCGCCCGGCGGCAGCGCGAGTGGGGGGGGCGGTGACGAAGGACATTATGGCCCCGTGCGCTCCAAGCCGGGCCTGGGGTTCGGGGCGGAACCGGAGACGGGGGACATGAAGATACCCTCGAGCATGGTCGGGCTGGTGATCGGACGAGGGGGTGAAAACATCCAAAAAATCACGGCTAAAACGGGCTGCTTTGTGCAGGTGTCGAAGGAGACGGAGCCGGGCGAGAACACGCGTGCGGTGAGTGTGAAAGGCCCCACCAAGGAGGGCGTGGCGGAGGCGCTGCAAATGATCCAGGGGCAGGTGGATGAGGCCCAGGCAGAGCGGAGCAAACCGCGCGCGGGGACCGGGGGTGGGGGCCACTATGGGGGCGGGGGGGGAGGACAGAGTTCCGAGTACGGGGTTGCGGCGACCCTCACAGTGCCGGTGCCCTCGGACAAAGTCGGGCTTATCATCGGCCGGGGCGGAAGCACCATCCGGACCATTCAGGAGCGGACAGGCGCCAACGTGAACATCCCCAGCGCCAACCAAGGGGACGAGCCCAACGTCCGCCTTGTCACGGTCTCGGCGCCGGACATGCAGGCGGCCGAACATGCTCGGTCCGAGATTCAGGCCCTGTTGGCCGGGGGGCCTGGGGGGGGGGGAGCGAATGGGAGGGGGGGCGCCTCAGGGGGGCACGGCGCTTGTCATGCACATCGACCAGGACAAAGTGGGGCTGATCATCGGCCGGTCCGGGGCGGTCATCAAGGAGATTCAGCACCGCACCAATACGCGCATTCAGGTGCCTACCACCGCCGAGCCCAACACCCATCCCCCCGTGCGGGCTGTCACCATCATGGGACCCGGCGACGGACCGGAACGGGCGCGCTACGAGATTGAAACCAAGCTAATGAACGAAGGTTGCCGAGACGCCCACGGCAACTACATCCCCTACCAGCCTAGCCCCGCCTTTATCGTCCCCGTCGGTCCCGGCGGCGTGCCCATCATGCCGGGGGCGGCTCCTCCCCCTCCGCCCCAGGGGGGGGGTTACTACCCTCCTCCCCCGGGCTATCAGCCCCAGCAGCCACCCCCGCCCGGATATCCACCCCCTGGATACCCGCAGCAGCCTGCGCAGTCAGATCCTTACGCCGCTTACTACCAGCAACAACAGAACCAGGGCCCCAGTCCCGCGCAGCAGCAACAACAACAGCAGCAACAACAACAACAACCACAACATCAACCACAACATCAACCACAGCCTCAACAGCCGCAGCAACAGCCAGCATATGCTTCGCAAACGAACGGTGGTGATGCCGCCGCTGCACAACAACAACAACAACAGGCTGCTCCTGCTCCCGCTCCAACATCAAGCTCTGACTCGGCGAGTAATGGAGCAGTTGGAGGTGAAGCAGCTTATGATCCCACTCAATACTGGGATCAATTCTGGGCATACGCTGTGCACTATGGAGAAGAATACGCGCGCAAGCAGTACGGCACGTGGGCACCGCCTGAAGGTACGCCGCCTCCTCCCGGTATCTCCCTTCCTTCCGCCGCGCAGGCCATGGCCGCCATCGCGGCACTGGGTCAGACATCTTAGAACTGGGTGACTACAAAAATGGTGGAAACGGAAGAATAATTGACCACCGAAATCGAGTTCTTCAGGGTTCACGAGGAAAGTGTGGTGAAGAGACATAATGGTAGGGAGGTTTTTTCATGGTATTTAGAAAAGTTAAGTGTTTTCTTTTGATAATCCAACTTGTATCGTTTTGTTCATCTTGACAAAATTATCAATACTCCACGTTGCCTTTTCATGCCAACATAATCCATTTTTAACATTCTCCCAGCAACAATAGCTTCACATGAAAAGCCGTTGCACGTTTGAAAGCAGTTTGAAATTTGAACGCTTATCGCTCCCTCTGATTCAAGTATTGGTCATGTGTCTCACGCGCGACGAGTGAATATATGGTCATTGAAATCTGATATCATAACATGTCAACACCCCTTTCGTATCATATTGGAAAAAGCTAGCATCATCACCGTTGACCGCACACCAAGACAGATTGCTCTTCGTACCACGCCCATACCTACACACGTACACACGCTTCCACCAAGAAATCACGGCATCATGTCGTCTTCCGCTATTGGATCTTCGAACTCATTTTCATGCGATGGTACTGGTCATAAATGGCAAGATAAGGTGTCGAGAATGTCTAAAAAAGTGGTAGTTGTGGGGGCGGGCCCAGCAGGAATTCACGCAGCAAGTCGTCTCCGGCAGCGTGGCTTCACTGATATATCTATCTTTGAAGCAGGCCCTGCTATCGGAGGACGATGCATCACGCGAATGATGCATGGAGGAAACGTGCCAGTTGAAGCTGGCTTTGTAGCCAATATTTCCGCTCAGAACGCGTTGACAGACCTTGTGGTAAGGAGAGCGGGATTCTGTCTAAACTTAGCTGTAGACAGAGAGCTCATCCCCTGCTCCAAAAGTGAAAATGTTCGCGCTCTTATACCCCATGTATTAAAATCTGCCTCGGCATTCCTCCACACAATATATGCTTAGGGTGAATACGGCCTGGCCGTCCAAGAAGAGGTGGTAGGGCAGATCAGCCCCGACTCGATCCCACGCGATGGCAACGAAAGGGTCGAACGAGAAGCAGAATTTATGCCTGGATCGAAAAGCTTTTCATCAGTCGGGAGGAAACACTTTCGTAAGTGTGTCGGGCAAGAAATTGAGACTGCCGACAGGGACGAAGGTAGCCCTTGTTATGGACACCAAATCTCCACCAGCTCCGACAAGACGGCTCAAGTAGCTTGTGACTTACCCAATAGCCATAGAGAAAAAGACATGAAAAGCTCTTCACGCATTCTAAGTGTCCGCGACAATGTTCCCAACCCGCCGGCCAACAATTCTCCTCCCTTGACCTTCGAGGCGCCCTCCAAGGCCGAGCAGAGCCCTGTCTTTAGTAAGGTAAAGACCACGGAGGGGCGTTCTGCTCCATCCATCGTCCCATCACTTTCCTCATTTTCCCGGTCCGCATCAAATGTGGCAGCCAGCACCGAGTTCAAGCGCAGCATAAGTAACATGGGTGACAAGATCCGCGACACCTCCACGTCAGAAATGACTCCCATGCGTCGGCTCTTTTCCCGTGGTATTTCGAACATCAAAGACCAGGTCGGCTCGCTTCTCGGAGAAGAACCCATTGTGGGGGCTGTACGCCGCTATACACGTGCACACAAACAGATCCTTGGAGAATACCCTCTTGGCATGCCCCCCCGTCCTAAGCCCGAAGACCTGTCTGAGCTGGACAAAACTTTCGGAGATTGGCTCAAAGAGCACGACCTTCTAGACCTCGTTGCTGTCTTTGTGCTGTTTCCTCTTATGTTAAGTTACCAATGTCTTATGGAAATGCCGGCCTTCTATGGGCTGTGGTGTTATCATCCTCAGCGTGTGATGGGCCTTGTTGACAGTCGCAGAGGTACGCTGAAGCTGCCTCGTTACACGGTTCTTAAATGTGGATGGCAAACTTTGTGGACTCACATTGCAGTTATTGAAGGTCTTCATGTTCATTTAAATTCCACGATTAAGTCCATCCGTCGGCCATGGATGGGTAAGAAGGGGCTGCTCGTTGTGGAGTCACGAGAATCGTCATGCGCGACAGGTGCGGTTACTCCAGACAAGATTTGTAGTGGGAAAGTACCCGGGCCAAAGATGCATGAGTTTGACCTCATTGTTATTGCCTGTAGCCTCAAGACCGCTGTCCCACTCTTTGTCGATGCCTCCCATGAGGAGCGCCAGCTCGCATCGTCCTTGGAAGAATACGCCTTGTGCAGCACGATGTTCGAATCAGACATCATCCCAGGAGAACGACCTATTGAACTTTTCCCATTTCCCAAACGTGGAGGGGCCTCTGGCCAAGTATTTGCTCAATTTAACTCGCGCCTGCTCGTACGCAAATTGCCCGATGAGGCAGCCCCGCAGGTCGAGTGGGGCTGTGTCGAAACGCCCACTGCCTGCAAGGGAGCGTCGCCGGCCAAAGACCCGCGCATTGTGTTTCAATTCCTTCACCGGGCTCCTAGTGCCGCAGATGTGAAAATGCTGCGGCGAAGACTTGAAATGTTCTTTGACGATCAATCGTTCAATGAGCCCACCATCCTGAAACAGTGCCTGTGGAAGTTTTTCCCTCATTTCCCTACAAAGGCCTTACTGGAAAGTGGATGGCCATGGCGGCTTCAGAAGTTGCAGGGGCATAACAGCACGCTATACCTCGGAGCGAGCGCCTGCATGGACGCCTTGGAGGAAGTGCTTCTGTACAATGATGCTGTAGTCCAGCGGCTTTTCCCGTCATGATCTGCGATGAACGAAGCAAGTCATGAGTAGGAACGGGATTAAAAGAGCTTTGCGACACTAAAGCAGTAAAAACTGTAGCACTCAATGTGTGGGGGAGCGACGGCTTCAAGTTAAGCTACCCTTTATCGTCGGATGTTTTGTTTGTCACCTTAGATCATGCCATGTTGTCTAGAAAAATATGAAACCTATGCGTTCGTCAATTGCATTGCCTCCAACTTTTCCTGTTGCTCCAACAACAAACACTGATTGGTAATCTCCTCCAGATTCCCGTCCAGGAACATCTGTAAAGGGAAGTTCGTGCCGAGTCGGTGGTCCGTGCATCGGCTGTCCTTCCAATTGTACGTCCTTATCTTCTCCGAACGACTGCCCGAGCCGATCTGGGAGCGTCGCTGGCCTGCCACCGCATCCCTTTGTTTCTCCTGTTCCAGATCGAACAAGCGCGACCGCAGCATCGACATGGCGAGCTCCTTATTCTTGAGTTGTGACCTCTCTTGTGTGCAAAAAATCCGAATGCCCGTCGGCTTGTGCAGCAAGTCCACCGCGGTCTCTACCTTGTTCACGTTCTGCCCTCCTGAGCCACCGGAGCGAGCAGTCGTCAGGGTAATGTCCTTCGGGTCTATTTTCACTTGCACCTCGTCCACCTCGGGCATCACAGCCACCGTCGCCGTACTTGTGTGCACGCGGCCCTGAGTCTCGGTAGCCGGTACGCGTTGCACTCGGTGCACCCCTGCCTCAAATTTGAGCTTTGAATAGACTTTGTCGCCCTGGATCTCCAGCACTGCATTCTTGTATCCGCCCTCGTCATTTCTGGAGTCCTCGACGACGCGGACGCGCCACCCCAGGCTCTGCCCGTAACGCTGGTACACGTCGACTAGATCCCCCGCGAAAAGCCCGGCCTCGCTACCGCCCGTGCCTGCCCGAATTTCAAGCATGACATTCTTGTCGTCCAATGGGTCAGAAGGCAGCATCAGGACCACCAGTTGCTTTTCAATGTCCTCTTGTCTCTCCTCCAAGTCTTTAATCTCCGCGCGGGCCATTTCCTTCATTTCGGGGTCTCCCGCGGCCTCGTTAAAGAGCTGTTTCGCCCCTGCCATGTCTGCAGCAAGCTTCTGCCACTCTTGATAGCTCACGACCACTTCTTCAATGTTCATCCGTTCCTGATTTACTTGCATCAATGTCGTAGGGTTGGCAATAACGTCGGGGTCCCCCAGGCGCTCAGTGAGTTCCTTGTATGTGCGTGAAAAACTCTCCAGTTTGGTCTGTACAAAAGGATCTAGGGTCATCGACACCCAATCTTTATATCTTCTTGATATTGAGCGCCCGGACGGCATTACCAGGTTAGGACTGACGAAGGCATGGGTCATGATGAGGGTTGTCAACCACCCTAGGAGGCAACAGCAATGGAAGGGGAGACGCATTGCAACGACGAGAAGATAGACCCCCGTCGGGCCAAAGCACGCGTGCGTCAAACAGTTGGCCTGTTTTACTGTGAGTGAATGACATGGGATGCCTTGAGCAGGAAAAAGACGCATTGCATGGCAGCGGGGTCGGAGATCTAGGATACGGCGCGACGCGTTCATCAGTTCAAGAAGTTCCAGCCGCCGCTCCGTGCACGTTCCCAAACCCGACGCGTCCCTTTGCTTCGTCGGAAAGAGCACACCTCATGAATATTGAAACACATGCACATACACACACGAAAGGCACAATTATCGTCAAAGAGTGGGGCTCTTCAGTCAGCCACTGGTGTCAATGCGACGGACCTTATGTCCAGGAGCAGGCCAGAGCCTGGGTGGGATTCGGGCCGCCGTTACACGCACGAATATAATATGCAATTTGCATGTGATTTCGAACGAGCTTCGAAGGCAGCAACATCAGCATATCACCGTGGTAATGCGTTTTTTAGCCAGCGATGCCAACTGTCTACTCAAGCGAAGCTTTCAGGGTTACAACGAAGAGTGGCGCCCGCCTCCCTTGGCTGCTGCTGCCATTTTAAGTTTAAGTCCCACAGCTTCGAATGCTACCAACGAGGCACAAATGGCTGACAAACCGGGACGTCGACGATGGATGCACCTTTTCAAGGCATTTCTTCGGGCGTGTCAAGTGACTCTGGTCATGAGCCCACTACTGGCGACGTTGCCTATTGTGTATGTGACGCGTCATATATTTCCCCGGCTTCGTCGTGGATGGTGGGCTTGCGCCCTGTGGTCTATCGAGGCTCTGGGCCCCTGCATGGTCAAGTTCATGCAATGGGCAAGCACCCGCCGGGACATTCTTGCGCCTGAAGTGTGTGACCTCTTGGAACCAATTCAGTGGCAGACTCGCCCTCATACGTGGGCGCAGACCAAGCAAGCTTTGAGCACGCTTCGCGCTGACTGGGCCGATGTTCTGTGCATTGACACAGATAAATCGGCTATGGTGGGATCGGGCTCTGTGGCTCAGGTGTATCGTGCCACAACCACTGCGCGGCTTGCTGACGACGCAAGAGACGCCACAGCACCGCCCCCGGCGCCCCGTGTGGTGGCCGTCAAGGTGATTCACCCTGGGGTAAAGAGACAGATCGAGGCCGACTTGGAGCTTCTGCGGATAGGGGCATGGCTGGTGGAGGCGACGGGTCATTTGCAGTGGTGGAGTGTGTGTGATTTTGTGGAGGAGTTCGCCCAGATCATGCACAAGCAACTGGACTTACGCTGCGAAGCAGAAGCCCTGGATCGCTTTCGCGCCAATTTCGCGGGCCGCACCGACATCATGTTTCCCCGTCCTTCCTGGCCTCTGGTTAACGAGTTTGTCTTAGTTGAGGACTACGTAAGCGGTGTCCCGATTTCGAATATATTGAAGGATCCCGCCTGGCCGGTGCAGGAGAAGAAGGCGATCGCTCGTTCCGGCCTTGACGCCTTTTTGAAAATGGTGTTTCTTGACAATTTTGTTCATGGAGATTTGCATCCAGGGAACATATTTGTGCGGCACGACACGGAGGCTCACAAGGCCAAGCCACATTTAACGTTCATCGACGCTGGGATCGTGACAGAGCTGACGCAACAGGATCGCCGGAATTTTGTGGATCTTTTCTATGCCATCGCTACGGGTCAAGGGGAAGCGGCGGGACGGCTTATGATCGAACGGTCCCGACGCCATGAGTGCCAAGACCCTGAGGGCTTCTGCCGGGGTATCTCGAGAATCGTGGAGGAGGCGACAGCGGGGCAGCACTTGCGGTTGGGGAAGATCCGCGTCGGCTTCTTGATCCAGAAAGTATTGGCCCTGTGTATCCAGTACAAGGTGAAACTGGAAAGCAATTTTGCGTCCATTTTGCTGGCGATTGGAGTTCTGGAGGGCGTGGGTCGAAGCTTGGACCCTGAGCTGGACATCTTGGCCGCGGCAACCCCAGTCATTTTAAAAAGCCGGTACTTTCAAACCAAAAAAGAAGATTAGAAGAAAAGAGCCGGGACAAATTCTCTGCTATGAAAAAGTAGCCCAAGAACGAAAGAAGATAGCCAAGGACATGGGAGATGTACGTCTCAAGTGTGTTAAACGGATCGACGGATATTGAAGGAGTAAGCTGGTTTTGGAAATCCGATGACGGCCACAAGGTATCAGAATCGGCTATTTGGTTGACTAAACACGTTTTGCTGTACATACATGATGGTGGAAGAGGGAATAGCGGGCCGGTGGAGGATGAAAGGTAACATGTAGCTTGTACTCCGTTCAAATTTATAGAGGTGTACAAGTACAGCGCATTGTCTTCGTTGCTATGTATTCATTTCGGCACAATATGGCTGAGACTTGACGTGAAATTCGCAGTGCGACGAGTAGTGTACATTGTAATATCCCCTCTTCCGGTGATGACGGTTGTCCACCGACTCTTGAGACAAAATACTTCCTTGTTAGCAACTAGAGCCGCGCAGCAACGACCTATCACTTTCTATCATAGGCGTGAGACCATTTCCTCCTATGCAATTATCTACGCGATGCTTGATGTGGTAAACTATATCATCAACGTCGATCCAATAGGTCGTGGCTTCATGCGCTCCCCCTGTGCGATAAAATGCAGTTGGTAGATTGCTTACTGTGTTGAGGTGGCTGCTACTTCGAGTTGCCAGTCTCTGTCTGCATTCAAATTCCTTCTCACCTCGACGCGATGAAAACAATTTCTTGAAAGCTCATAAGTTTTTCCCATAGGCTGTTTCACGTTGCTTTTGGTTGACTCTTTGTGCATTCGCCTTTTTATACAACACGCTGTGTACACATCAGACTCATGTATATCAAACAACCCTGAACCTTCCTAAATCGTGCAGTACCTATTTTTTCTTAAGCTAGCGTGTAATAGATGCCGTCAAGAGAGAAAGCCCTGTTTCATCTACGAGGAGGCTGTTAAGGGTACCAAGCGCATGCTGGATTGCAGGAATGGCTGCGACGTCAAGGACCTCATAAAGGGGAGCATCTAATGCGTCAATTTCAAGGCGCTGTACAAGCATTTCGATAGAAATAGAGCCTAGTTGAGCCTGATGCTGGATCAGCGCCTCGGCAATGGATTCCATATCCTCGCAAATGTCCAGACCGGCAGGGAGCAAAGAAGTGGCAAGACGACGCACGGCGTATTGTCGTCGACACAGCACCGATATGTACGCCTGCCCTCCGAGGTCTACCAACAATTTTAAGGACGTATCTCTGCGGCGTTCTGAGACTTTTTCCTCCTGGACTTCGTCAAAGATGATTTCATGCTGCGTTATCGATCCTTGAATGCGTTGTCGGGGATAAAACCTGGTCTCTCCTCCACTTTGCACCTCGTTCATCTTGCCTATATTTAGTAGAGTAAAAAGCCGAGCACGCTCACCCTCTAGCACACGAGGTGCATCTGATGATAATTTTACCCATCGACTCAAATCTGCCATCGCATTTCGAAGGTAAGCCTCATTGCGTGCCCGGGGAGGAATCTCCTTGCGCATACCACTCCATCCCGAGACACTGGCCATGACAGTATCCGTTTTAGGGTCATACGATTGAAACACGAGATCAGTTAATGCGTAAACGTCACAGTTTTCGCTAAGCGTCTTTCCCATTTTGCAACGTTCCTGCTCCATGTCCACTTTCTTTTCCATCCCGCGCTCACTGGCAGCAGCGTCATAGTCTCGTTTCTCCAAGCAAAGAATGCAGCTTGATGCATCTGTCAAAAAGATTCGAGTCCGCACTGGCATGTTGGAGTTTCTCTTAGTACATTTCTCGCCTCTAATGCCTTGAGTCCCCCTGGTGTCCTGCTCTTTAGCCAGCGCTCGTGGGCTTGCGTCGTCCCAGGTGATGGAGAGCAAACGCAGGCCGACAATGTCAAAATCCATAGAGAGAAAAGGGCCTTTTCGGCTGTCGAATCTTTCCTTAGCTTCCCGAATGCTTTTCAGCACATGGCGAGGCTGATAGCTGGCATAATCAAAAACAGAACGGTGACCGAGTGGAATGGGAAAACAAGAGCCAGAGCACTTTTCATTTCTGATCTCACCGTCTTTCCCCGAATAAGAAGAAAGCGGGACTACTTTGGTAGATTTTCCAGTGGCGTACAGACGGAAAAGGGATGGGGCGGGTCCATCGCTTTTATTCGGTGGTGCGGTGATCCCGTACAGCATAACGTGCCTACCATCCTGTAAAGCCTCCTCGAGCTCCTCAGATGGCTCCCACACGGTCAACAGGGCTAAATTTTGTCGTTGTTTCGCGAATGAGTGGCATTCAAACTCGTCAGAGAGTTTGTACGAGTCGACAGAGGTTGATGGAAGATGCGAATGCCTGCTTTTGACAGAACATATTTTCACTCGGAAGAAAGGTTTGGATTCCCTGTGACACGATGGGTCCTTCAACACCTCATTTCGAGCCTCTTCCACTCGCGAGCATATTTCTGTGTGGAGCATTTCCCTCGTTTTTCCTGTTTCCCATTCTCGTTCCGAACCGAGTCCAGTCGTGTTACCTTGCCTTCTGTGACGGCGTTCTCGGTTCTCTTCCTCCGCCTGCTGGGTCTTCTCTTCTAAGATCCGCTCCATGCGGGCTTGGCACACCCCTTCATGTCGCTGTTGTGCATCTTCCTCCTCTGCCACGCTTAAAACTCGCGACGCAAGTCGCTCACCTTCGGCATTGAGACTGCGCTCCATGAACTGAGTGGCATAGCGTCGGACCACTACTGCCTCAATCGCCGGCGCAGATCCACCACCGGCCACAAGGCCAGATACAGACGTACTCATGACCCCCCTTGAGCACATTGAAGGCCGGCGCTGAAAGCCCAATGGCGCATCCCACCTGGCAGGCCGTGTGCCATTAATGACTAATTGCAAACATGGACGGGCGTCCGCTGACTGGTCAAGCATTTCCAATGGGTCAACACCCCCTCCGGAGAGGCCTTGCAAAAACGCACCGCAAATTGCCACCTTAGTGCCCACACGGATGCGACCAGTCCTGACAAAGGCGCTCAAAAAGCTATCCAAAACCGCATCGAGATAATACCAGCCGTCGGTTAACTCTATACGCACATGAGTCGATGGACTTGTGCCTCCCGTCGACTCAGCCTGCTCCAAAATTTCCGACTCTTTTTCTTGAGCGTCATCTGCCGTCTGTTCATCAGCCAGTGTATGTGACAGAGAAGCATTGTTGAGGAGGCTCGTCTGAAAAATAGGCCGGTGGTAGACTTGGCTGACACATAAAATCATTAAGCGTCCTGCGGAGGCATCGCCGTTCAATATCATTCGTAGAGCTGAACGATGGCCACACACCATCTCACGATAAGCGCGATATCGTAATTGCTGCAGAACGCGAGGGCGAGTCAGGTACCTTCCTCCAAGCACTTCAGGAAAAGCTCGCTCGAGACAAGCAAGCTTCCATACAATAGCTCCGTAATGATGAGCGACCCACACCTCCGAGGGTGGGGACAGCGAGATTTGTAAGTCCCTACATACTGGATTCGCCGTTACATCGCGAATCCACCGCGCACATTCGTCTGGAGGTAGCAATGCTCGTCGACGCCTACATGATGTAGCTGGCCTTTCCTCCAACGTGCCTGCAGTAACATTCAAAGCATCCTCCATAACCAAGGGAAAGCCTGATTCCTCCTTTGAAAAGCGTAAATTATGCCCATTTGTGCTTGTTAGTGCCAATGTTGCCTGCTTCACGCCATACGATGATAGAAGATGGGCAGCAACGCTGCCCGGATATACTCCAAGATCACATAAATTCAGCCTTGCGTAGTTTCCATGCCCTCCCTGAATGTTTTGTCCACCGCCTTTTTCATTCCAACCAGCATTCCTGTCGCAGTCTTTTTGCATTTGTCTCAACTTGTCGAGGGCCAAAGCCCGCAAGTCCAGCAACGCTATGTCTTTGCATTGAGTCGGAGGCCGCAACAACTTTAGGTGCTCTTCAGCAGATGGTGGGCAAATGTCGCCTTGCGACAAGTCCCGGACACTATCTATACTTTCGACTACTCGTCCTTCGATGTTGTTGCTATTGCTCGTTGTACATGCTATTTCTCGAACGAGCGCTCTCTCTGTGATCATACCAGCGCTTTTGTCACGAGCACTTTCCCAAAACTGTTCATCACCTTCTCGCAAAAAAGAATGGTCAATTCCTTGCTTTATCTCAGCCTTTCCCCCCTGAACTTCCTCAGTGCCTTCCGAGAAGAGACAGTCGGTGCTCAGAACGGCGCCTTGGCATCTTGGATCACCTTTGCGGGAAGCCAAGTACTTTTTGACATCTTGTAGGGCGACTTGATCAAATGTGTGTGTCGTTTGCAAACTCTTCTCACCATCTTCGGGAATCTCAAATTGTGACACGGATAGCACTTTTTCCTGCGCAGCAACACTTATATTTGGAATGGCTTCATACGCAGCGGCGTGAAATCCTTGATTTATCTCAGACTCAACTTTGGTATGACTTTTTGACGGCTTATTTGATACCCCCATTCTAGTGGGTGGTTCGCTTGTGTTTCCGTGATCTTCTTTTCGACCCATCATGAATACGTTCAAACTGTTCGCGCTCAGACATGCCCCTTGAACAAACGATCCGGAGTCTTCTACAGACAAGAACGGAGAAACTAAACCAAAAACAGCCTTAATCATTCCAAGTGATGAAGAGCTCCCTCCAGCAACGCGAAAGACTCCTTCAATATCAGAACTTGAGGTAGACTCCAGAACCATGCAAGCGACCGATGCCGACTCCGACACTCCATTCTCCTTGGTGCTACCACCTCCCCCGCTCTC